TTTCCAATGCTGTCATCGACTGCAGGCGAGTCGAATAATTACTGGCATGCTGCGAAAGACAATCGAAATCAAACTGTGGAAGAACTGTTATTTACATGATCAATTGCAAAATATGCTTACCTTTCAGTGGCAATGGTCTACTGCTCCATTAGCGCTAAGAGTCGACACCAGTTAACTAGAGATATCAAAAACAACTATTCTGCTGCGAGACATACACAATAACGCTAAGCTGGCATGATGAAAGTCTTTTATATGCCGATATAAGATTATTGTCAAGAAATATTATCAATATCTTTATTTATAGCCTTCTACCCCCGCCTTTAAGCCAGTTTCTCTGAACTTTGTAACTGCACTGCTTCAGTACATTATTATTACTTACTAAATTGACACAAATGCACAGAAAGTCCAATTTTAATGGTTAGTTTTCACATAGTTAACTGAAAACGCTGGTCGTCTTTTTCCATTTGATTATAAACTAATCGAAAAAAGACGTGAACGTATTGCAATGATTGTACTTTAATTGCCGGCGTCGGCTGCTGGATATCAATGGATGGATGCTATCAGCACAGCTAAAGGAAATAATTTAATTTCGCTGTTACAGAAATTGTCATTAATGTAGTAGTAGTAAAGCAAGCCTTCTTTAATGGGCAGATAATATAGCACAAGAATCGACACAACACGCGTTAAGACTGTTTGCAGACACAAAGACGAACCCAAGCCACCACCCAGGAGATCGTATGGAGGGACGATCTGGCTACAACTACGAACGCAGCATTCTGCACTGACGTAGCGCTTAGCTGCTCAGTAGTACCGCAAATTTCGCCATCTATGCGTTATTTGCAGATCGACCGAATTCTTCACAAATACGCGAGCTACGAAGCCGAAGCTGAAAACGATGGTCGAAACTTAGCGAACAATTAAAGAGTTAGCGATTATTTTGAGGTAAGAGCTTCCTCAGCTTCACTTTGAAGCCGTCTATGACGTCACGCTAACGGCTGAACGGGCGTTGCTCACCATGGTGATGTTTCGCGCCGTCCTGCGATTGGGCAATAATGATCGCGGCGTGCATGTTGAAAGCATTAATCATTCAAAATTGTTTACATTCTAATTTCAGACGCTGAAGAGCTGAGTGCACAATATAGCAAAAAACCAAGGCGATCAATCTTGCTGCACATGTACTTTCAAATGTTAGATACTGTTTTGCGGTTTAATGGACCACTTGACTTACATTCACGTACCGTATCGTTTGTCGTCCAGTCCGTGGATTACAGTCACGGCAGGCATGGCCTCGCTTCCTTGCTGTTTGTTCCCGCGACGGTGGTCATTCTTTTTCAAACGCCGGACGAACGGTGAAGACGAATTTCGAATTTAGGCACTCGTCATTCACCCTACCGCTGCTCTTCATTCGCCGCTCCAAAAAACTTCCTCCTCGTTGGGACCCTGTCAACACACAGGCGCATGCAACAGCGTCAACGCAGCGTATGCAACGCAGGCGACAAGCGATATTTAGTAATTTCCGGCTTCACGTAGAAAATCACACTCGGTTCGCATCATGGCTGGCCGTTCTTCAGATTGAGCATTGAAATACACAAGTTTGTGAAGCTTGAAACTTGAAAGATACCAAGAACGCTAGCGTTTCAACTCGTGCAATCAAAAGCGCGCCTTACATAACCTGAAATTTGTCGAAAATCAATGATCGATCAAACTGCAGTAAAAGACGTAGATACAAGTTTACTGTCTTCTGTCTATTGCCGTAATTTCAGAATCGAAGCCATAAACATGATATAAAAAATAAATACATCTGACAAATAATGCAACAGTAAATTGTCATAGCATCAGTTGCGAAACAAAACTTGCAAAATGGCACAATTATAGCAGGAAGTAATCACTATGTATCAAAGAAATGACAAAAAGGCTTTTAAAGCGGAAATACTGGTTCATGGCCAAAAGTTTCGGAAAGGCATAACATAATACCGTTCAACTTGTGAAATCTGTATGTAGTACTTGTAGTACATGAAGACGTAAACACGCGAAGAAACGCAAAACACAACTTTCGAAACCGGTTATAAGAACAGCTGTAGTAACTGCACTCGCGGCAAGGGGGAAAATGAAGTCGTACTATTGAGGGAAACAAAAACGGTCCTCGTTTGTCATATATACTTCAAGTTCGTTGTCTTCATAATAGTCCGTCAGTTGCCAATCGAGTTGCCGAATCATAGCATAATCAGCGAAAAATAATTTTTCATTTGTGTTCTTTTATGTATGTAGTTCCATTCACTGTCATAAAAGGAAACAATCAGACAACCATGTGATTGTAGTTGCGGGATTTAGGCCAATTATGATACAACTGATACAGCACTGCATCATCCCCATCTGAAGTGCGCTGATCACGGCTACTTTCAACTTTTCAAAATTCTCTTCTCTCTTTATTAGAGTACGGCGAGCCAAGATGAAGTGTCCAGTTTGCGGTTAATCCTAACGGCGAATAATTGGTGGCTAGCAGGGACGATGTCATTTCAGGAATGACGTTAAATGGCCATGGTGGAAATCCCTTGAGTGATAGAAGTGACCTCTGCGGAACTAACAGATTAGCTGAAGACAGCAGACTCGCTGTTCTGCTTAGAGGAATCGAGCCTGAAACAAAAGATGCTATTAATGGCAATCCTTGCAACGGAATGCGTTGATAAGAATTACTGGGGTCTATCGTCCACAGACTGTCGGCTCCAAACGATGTCGAAGTCGGTAGAACAGATTTCGTCGACGGCAAGTTTAGCGAACACAGTGAAAGCGTAGGAGGATCTATAAATGCTGAATATGTCACACACTGCAAGCAAAATTTCTCACCAGATCGCTGATCAGATATAATTTGCGAACGACAAAGTTCAAATGGGCAATGGGCAATACACCTCACTGAAACTGCGCCTCTGAGTGACGATTAAGATCGCCAGTTTAGGACAAGCTACTCAGTGCTTTGGCAAGAGCTTCTTAGAGCACGAAACGTATAGCATTTTTCACCTACAAATTTTGGTGTAAAATTTTCACCTTCCGCTAGAATGAGCAGAAGTTTTAACCAAGGCCTTCGCACATCGAAACGACGCGGTTCAAACAATACAGATGAATGCGAGGCTGAAGCGAAAGGCAAACAAACAGCTGAATTACAAAAATTACTGAAGTACAAAACGAAAATATGTCACGAGAGCAGAGCAATAGGAGTTCTCGTGGTTAAATATCTCGATGCTATCAAGTCAGTCCGTTTCCACGGCCGCTTATCCTTTCGAGCAGCAGAAGCAGCACAGTGTGACAATATCTCTAACGTTACTGATCCTGAATAACTGACTGAGCTTTAACAGAAGGAAACTGCAGCTGGACTAGAGTCGGTCACGGCACG